CTCGGGCTAGGGGGTGGCCAGGTGGGGGAGGGGAACCTCTCCGGCTGTTTGTTTGCGAGCCTCAATCTATGACAACCAGGAGTCTAACTCCGTGAATCACCCGAGCTGCCCGAGCGATAAACCTCGGGCCGCGCCTCCCCTCGCGCGCACCGCCGTTTCGGACTCCGGGAGGGACTGTTTGCTCTGCCGCAGGAGCTGGCGGTGGGGCCCAGGCTTCCTAGAGCCCTGTCTCCCTTCCTGTGCCTGGTCCTCGCAGGCTGGGCTGGGAGACGAGGGAATTCTTTCAGTTCTTTGAAATATGAAGCGGAAGAGCGCAATTCCTTGCCTTAACTCCACCCCCACCCCACGCAAGGACCAGGCAGCCGGGCGCCCACCATGAAACGGGGAGCAGCCGGTCTGACCCGAGAGCCACGGGCCCAGGGCTGCAGCTTCTTTAACTGATGCCCAAGTCAGTGTGCTGGGAGGGGTCGCTCATTAGCATAGGTGACCTGCCAATTCAGAGGGGCGGGAAGGGTGTGGGGGAAGGGAGATGGGGAGATGGGGAGAGGTCTAAGAGACCTGGGGGAGACACGGATGAATTGTGGCTCCCTCTCAATGTGCTCTCAAGCTTTGGGAAGGAACCCCTTGACTCTACAGAGACCTCGCCCAAGAAGCAAGTCGCCCCTACGTCTAGGCCCAGGCAGGGGGAAGGCTGGGGTACCGGGTGCCTGGCCACTCGCTGGGAGTCATCTGGACCGAGGCCGGGGTGCAGCCGCTGAGCTGTCCGCAGCCAGCCTGTGCCTGTGCCTGTGCGGTGACAGTGGGGGAAATGTGGGGCAGTTTTCTGAGAATTGTTTGCTTGTTTCCTTTTCTCCGGCCTCACTCTGGAACAGGATCTGCCTTCAAAACAAAGCAAGGCCCTCGGGGCAGATGGCCTGGGCCCCAGGATCCCTGGTGCCCTGTGCTAGGAGAGGTGGGGAGCCTGGAGGTGGAGGTGTGGGGAGCCTCACCCCACCCCACCCCTGTGAGTCAGAGGCCGTGGGTGCTGCTGGCCACGGGGGGGCCTGGAGTGGCTAAAAGGGACGATCTGTGGGTGGTGCTCTTGCTTTCTAAGGCTCCAGCTATAGGGTCATCTGGGCCCCCAAATGCCCTTCACCCAGTATAACAACCCATAGGCACGACCCACCCCAGCCCTGTGAATCAGAGGCCGTGGGTGCTGCTGGCCACGGGGGGCCTGGAGTGGCTAAAAGGGACCATCTGTGGGCGGTGCTCTTGCTTTCTAAGGCTCCAGCTATAGGGTCATCTGGGCCCCCAAATACCCTTCACCCAGTATAACAACCCATAGGCATAGATAAGCTTTATAAACTCCCATTTGCACTAAAAATAACACTTTGAAGAGTGGTCCCCTAGGGCTACTGCCCACGCACTGTTCAGAGGGATCCCGCATTGCAGAGGGGTGGCAGGCTCCCTCCTGCCCGAACGTGGTGCTGGAATGCCCGTGGGCCCATTGAAACTACCTTCTTCTGGGACCTGGAACAGTTTAAGGTACTGACCAGGCCCCAGGGTTCAAGAGCAGCTCTGCCAGCTGTGGGACTGGGCAAGTCACTTCCTCTCTCTGAGCCCCACTTTCCTCTACTGGGAAACTGGTCTGACACCACCTCCACATCTTGCTGTGAAGTCCACATGGAGCTGAGTCTAGAATGTTCCTCACACAGCCAGGCACTTACAGAAGCTCCATGGTCAGCCTCTCTGTTCGTAGTCTGTCCCCTCCGAGGCTTAGTCCTGTCAGTTTTAGAAGCGGCTTCTCCAACATTCTTCTGATTCTGTTTGACTGATATCAGAATAGCCTTCGCCTGTGCTGTTCCTTCTACCGCCAACATCCTTGCCCTCCCACCCCCCAAAATTCCTTGGGCCCAAATTTTAAAAATATGTCCTGTCTCCAAGCTCAGCCTCAGTGGCCCCCCTCCGCGAAGCTGTCTTCACTTTCCCCAGAAAGAACCCT